GACCCCAGAAATCCTGAGGCTGGTTCTCAATCGTAGAAATTACGGAGTTTTTGTATTAACCTTCCTTTCTGAGCTTGTTCAGTTAGGATCTGCTTTCCAGTCATCAGGCATGACCTCTGTATCTTCACGGAGCCTCTTCACAAAAGTGGTACCTGGTTATGGACCAAGGGCTAATTCTAGAAAGGGACCCTAAACTGGAGATGACAAAAAACGAATAAGGGAAAAGCAGTATCAAGGAGCATTTAGTGTCAACTATTACTTAGAATGTAGATTTTAGTATTTCTCTGAATTTGATAATTATATACAGAGCCACAGCATATGCACTTATTTGCCTTGTTTTTTGCAGAAACTTTTCAAAATGTTTAGGTTTTTTAATTGGCCAGTACAGATGTCTGAGTCTTTTTGCCCAGGAATGTTCTCCATAGCTGTTGAATAAAATAAGATACATAGGTAGACAGATAATCTATCTCAGATAATTTGGATTTGTTTTTTAGCTGTGCCTGTTACAGAAGAAGCCCTTTCAGAGGCGCCTCATGTACCTACTCCAAAAGTGTTTCTTATTTACTAGCAGCTCTATCAGTCCCTCTCTATACTAATTGTGCAGTTGACAGTAGTGCAGCATGTGTTTGTGCACTGAAGTTTCCGTTTTGTTGCCAGTATGGCATGATGGGGTTTTGGTGTCACTATAAACTAGTATCTCTAAACAAAGTTCTCCACTGTCATCTGTTGCTGAGGGTCGTTGTTGCAGCTGTGATTCAAAAAGCCAATGAATCTTACTTTAGTTGAGAAGGTGAGGCCCAGTTCTCATTTCCACTGGTCAGGGCCACAATCTGTCATTCTGCTGCTAACTGATGCCTTGCTCGGACTCTGTGAGTGCAGAGGAGGTGTAGCAGTCTGCCAGCACTGTGAACAGAGAGCTCTCTTTATCATCTGTTTTGCACCCATGTTGCTATTTGCAAGAAATGTAAATTATGGTGAATGAAAGTAATAAATTACTAAGGGAAAAGATTTACAGTTCTAATCAGACTGATCCATGGATGCCAAATGGAGACAGGTAGGTCCTTAGCCTCCAAGATCCAAGATGCACATAAAAGACTTATTTTATATGTCACAAAATCCTCTCATAGTCTCTGGAAATTTAATGAATTGACTAGTTCACATGAAAGGCACTCACGCTCATCCCTGCAGAGTCGTTAGCAATGAGTTGGAAAGCAGTTTTGTCCATTTCTTCCAACAACTGTAGCCAATTTGGCCATTACATTAATACATCAGACTTGGAAGCCTGAATCTACAGGTCTTCCATCAACTTCTGATTGCTTGATTAATTTGTATGGCAAACACTCTCAGCTAGAGCTCTTGACATTAAGAATAGCTTACAAAATTAATTACAATAGTAGAAGCTAGAAAAAAAGGTAGGGAGGGGTGCTTTTACTGCTTAAGACCCTGTTCTTTTTCCAGTACAAGTTTGTCTCTGTCTCATTTTCAAAGGCATACTGTTTCCATACTAAATTCTTGTGCAGCAGACTCCCAAGTCTAAGAGCCCTTCCAATTTTAACCTTTTTCTCAAATCAGTGTTTCATTTTGTGCACCCACTTACATTTTCACATGTTTTTCTATGTCTTACTGTCTTACAAGAATAAAACTGCTGAAATTATTTCTGGATTAATCCTTGGATCTTGATTTCTTTTTTTTTTTTTTTTAAATACAGAATGTGATTAATTGTTTGACCTGTCTTTATGCCACACAGATTTTTCTAGAGTGTGCCACCCTGCCTTTATCTAGTGTGTGGCATGCCCAGCTGAGTGCACATGGAAGCATAAAGAATTTTGTTGATTTTTAGAGGTGTTGCTTAATTCTTTGCTTTTCTCCCACTACCTGCTCACTCCCTGATAAAGTAAATATTTATGAAAAGTACCTGAAAAAACCCCCCATGAGTCACCAGGAGTGTTCACTGTGATAGTGTAACCTCACCTGAACTTGATTAAATCCATCTCCCTTATGTGTTGAAATTCCTGTTTGGTAATCAGACTTTAACTGAAATTGTACAATTATTCTTCTCATCTAATGTTCTCAAGGTTCTTTTGCTTAAATGATTTTTAGTCGATGACAGTGCCAAATAATGGGTCAAATTCTTCTGGCAATTTTACTTACATAGATTAAGAGTAATTCTGTAGTTTAATCATGTTTCATCAGGGCAAATTTGAATGTATTTGGAAATATTTGGCCTTCTGAAAATAAGCGCGCATTTAAGTTTCCTGCAACAATAAATGTTGCTGTGTTGTAACAACATATTACTTGTTCCAATCATTACTCCAACTCAATTTTCTGTTGACTTCCTTAATATGACCAGCCTGACTGCAGGTGTAACAGCTGAGGAAAAAGTGATTTTATTTGGGAAAAAGTTTGAGAGTCTTCACTTAGATCAAAAGTATCAAAAGCAAGATTACTTTGAGAATGTGGACATCATTGCGAAATTTCAAGTTCACCAAGGGGTTCTGAATCACAGCTTCCTAAGCTAAACCTCACTCTGCCTGAGGACTGGCAAAAGTGAAACTAAGAGTGCGTTACAGCCGTTCTGCAGCTCTTTACTTCAGTTGCTTTATATAGAAGGGCGCTTAGAGGACTGAGTCTCCAAAAAGCAAGGCTTTCCTATTGGAAGTGTATCTAGGCTTTTCCTGAGACAACTAGGAGTATGTTCTCTCTTGCAATAATGTTAATTACTCAAATGCTTTTTAGAAATTAACATTTAATTTTTGGCCTCGTCCGACCACATCAGCAGAATTTTGTCAGTCCAATGTAAGGTGAAAGTCATGAGATCGTGGCTATTGTCGTAATTCTCCTCCACTAAGTAACTGCCCATTTCACATGGTGCTCTGCTCTTACCTGTGCCTGAGCACATCGATGCTTAAGAAAGCAGAAGCTCATGCTTCTTGGGTGTTTTTCCAAAGAAATGAGTATATGAAGACAAAATGACTAATGGAAAGTTAATTTAAGCTTTAGTTTAAAAGCATTTAAAACTTACTAAAGTTTTTTGGTTTAGCTTGTGGTGCCTGAATCCTGTTAGATTCCTGCTATGAAAGGCTTATTTGACTGCCAAAATTTACTGAGTATTTCCGATTTATCTGTAATCTTGGAAACAAAGAATCTTTTGAGAAGGAGGGACAGGCCCAGCTTTCAATGGGAGGGTAATATCAATCTAATCTAATTAGTCTAATCTATCCATGCTGGTCACATTTTGATATCTGTATGTGTATATTATGATATACTGCTTAGCAGTGCAGCTTTGTTACACTTGAGATAACATTCTCCGTGTGGAGTTAGGTGGAATAAAGCAAATGTGTGCAATTACCTTTTTTGTTTTTTTTTTTTAATTGAGGTCTGTTTGCTGAGAGAGATTTCTATACAATCTCTTTCACCTTTTTTCTAATGACTGAGATTACAGAAATGTATTGACTGTTAGGTTGGGTTATTGGTTTATTAGAAGGAAATAGGCCTCAGTTATGACTTTCTAGTAGAAAGTAGAGTGTGATTCATCAAGTTTCTGGCACTGGCTGACATGGAGTCACAGATGAGGAGGAGTCCAGGTGTAGTTGTAGCCATAGGAGAATACTTCTTATGGCAATATCATGTGGTCACTGACATTTTCATAAAATACAGAAAACTGTGGTAGCTTTAAAGGAGGAATTCCCATCATGCTCCTTTTGTTTTGTGACCTTGTGCGAACCACACAACCTCTGAAGTTTCATGTCACTCTCTTGTACGGTGAGGAGGCTGGAAGTTACCCAGATGGTCTTGTGAAGCACAGTTGTTATTCCTAATTACATCACACATTGCAATGCATGTGTTATATACATCATGGTAACTGATCAAAAATGAGCAGCACTTCTTGTTATAATGAGTTCATGCATATATTAGATGGGAGAAATGGTTGACTGATCTGCACAGTGGTGGTATGTAGGCCACCATGACACAGGTATTTCTTTCCAGGATTTGTCTGTAGACTGTCAGGCTGTTAGGGATTATATTTCAGAAGACAAAATGCAGTTTGTATGAATGAATAGCAGAGTTATTCCAGATGCCATTTAATTCTGGATGATATCCTGTTAAATATTTTTTTAAATGGAACCAGGAAGAGTGGGAATTCCTCTAAAGTTTAAACCCGTAAATAATAGCCATTTGCTGACTAATTGATTTTACAAAAGCTGACTTACTGAGAGACTTTAACATATCGGGGTCAGGTTATCTGCGCCAACCCAAAAATTCAGATATGAGGGTTACCACAGCGTGACATGTAAATATGGATTTGTTCGAGTCATGAAGAAAATTTTTGTCCAGTGTTTCCCACACCTCTAGCAAGGTATAAAAGTTGAAGGTCTCTGGGATTTTCTTGCATTCTTACTTTCTGCAGCCTCTTGTTCTTGTCTGAAAGAAAGATGCACGAATTTGTGAGTATATCCATTTTTGTTGAATTTATATTGTAAAAAGTTCCTTATTTTTAAAAACCAGGAGATAGTGAAGAAGATGCTCAAGTCAGTGGTACAGTACTGAGTCTATATGATCTGTGTATTGTTTCTTTGGGTTGTTCAGTGGGAAACTTGCATTTCTTGGGTGTGCCGTAATCCCCTTGGAAACACTGGAAGCATCATTTGAGCAAAAAGTGCAGAACTTGATTACAATTCAGAAAGGGGATTTGGTTATGATTTAATAATTACAGTTGTAGAGGCAAATCCAGAAGTAACATGGTATCAAAGATTGTGACTTTCGAAAAATTCCAAAAGTGTAATGGTTAAGTTATCATTCTGCTTTTTCAGTTACAGGCAAAAGAGAGCCTAATAACGAGAGTTTCACAATGAAGAATTATAGTTGTTTTCTACTAATACACATGTTAAGTGGGTAACTTTCAACTGATGCTGCAGCTGCTTCCCTCAATTAATGAACTGGGGTTTTTTTATGGCACTGCCTGGGGTTTCTGTCAAGTGAGAATGCTTTTCCTTTTACAGGCTGCAGTTCTTGTTTTGCTGGGAGTCTTTTGGACTCAGACTTCTGCATTGGATGTAAGTAGACTGATAAGCCTTCTAGTGCATGTACTCATTTAAAATGTATTGGATCCCTGGGAAGGGGTGAATATAATGGGAAGAAAAGCACCAAAGAAACTAATAAGATGCTTATTGCCAGATGTAGAGAAAAACAGCAGTTGCCAAAAGTGACAGTCATACAAGCCAAAGAGGCAATTCTGTGCAGGTGCATAGTAACAAGAAATTTGGGGGCACATAGGTCCCCTTAGCTCAAGCTAAAATTTGGAGATTGTTGCAGTCTCCTGCCAGTCCCTGCTGCCACACATAACGACTGGAGTACCTCAAGTTTTTCCTTAGCCTGCAGTGAGGGCCTGTCCCCTCCTTTTTCACCCTGATGTACTCTTGCATAATTATTCTCCACCTCAAGTGCCTCCTGAGGCTGCTAGAAAGTTGTTAAGGGATTTAGGATTTACATTAGTCAATCATACTTGCTTATTTGAGAGGAAGCATTTGTTTATACTGCACCTTTTAAAGGTGCAAGCCAGATGATGAACAATGAATTTGTGTTTTTTACCGAAGACCTTTGTCCTGCATGAACCTGGCAATGACTATGTCACTGGAACTATGACTATCCACAATGAGAACCAGATTGTTGAAGTCCATGTCCGTTCTGGCGTGTACTCCTCTGATACCATTTTTGACTACTCTCGTGTAAGTAAATTTAAGAATCTTCCTAGACTTCTCTGAGGAAGTTTTTAAACTCATAAATCATTTTAGCATATTCTCACCATAAATTGTCCTGAAACACTGGTTTTTTTGAAGGTTCCCATCACCTTTCCTCCTCTTAGACTACCTCTTTGTTTCACAGAAACAAAGTGAAACCTGTGGTGGCAGTTCATGAAAGTGAGAAGAATGTCATGGACCTCAGTGAGGTCAGAGTTGAGAAGGGGCTGCCATCACTCATGTAGAGCAAGTGCAGCAGCAACCTGTCAGAAAAGATTCTCCCAGGTTTACAGACAGACATTAGTGTCAGCAGGCTGCTTCCATCCCCAAAGGTGACAATGTAAATGCAGAGTCATTCCACAGTAGTAGCCTGTGTAGCCACTTCCTATTCTAGATTTTCCGAAAGAGTCAAAAGAATCAACTAATATTAGTGGTAGCCATTTTTAATTAACTAATTAATTAACTCTATTTTTTTTTTCTTTATCACAGGGTTATATTGCAACAAGGTTATTTTCACGAAAAGCCTGCTTTATCATGAAAATAGATAAGGAATACATCCCAGAGCTGCAAGAAATTGGACGCCTGGCTTTTGAAAGACAGGTGACTTTGCAGTGAAACCTGTACTGTGTATAAGGCAGATTCCTGTGTGAGAGTTGTGTGGTGTGGTGGGAACCCTCCATTCTGCCTTTATGAACAGCCAGTCTTAGGAATGTCTTTTGCTGTGGTAGCAATGGTGAAGCACATCTGACAAGACAGAACCTCAAGAGAAAATCATATAGAACATTCTTTTAAGATAATGAGCAATCATGCCCCAACCCCTCTGCAGTTTGATATTGAATTGTCATTGTGACTAGAACTGTAAGGTCCCCTGTCCTTGGAAGTAGTGTAATTTGATTATTTTGAGGTGATTGAAATATGAGTTCTGACAGGCTTTTCTTTTTTTTTTTTTTTTTTCATTGTCATGCTGATATTTTGAGCTTGACATAACCTGAAATAATTTTGTTTGTGGAATAGAGTTTAGAAATCTTTTTCTTTGACAAGACTTAGACTTTCCTCTTCAGGCAAAGGTTTCGTGAAGGCGACTGGAAATATTGCCTGGAGATGAACTTGAGTTCTGGCCCATTTTATGACAGCCTAACAGTAGCACATTTACAGCAAAACTTACTGCCAATTAACATAACTCATTATGACAGTAATACATCTCAATTTTGCTATGCTGGCAGAATTAGTATCTAGTGAACTTTGTTTCTGAATAGATTGAATTTTTTTTTTTCTTTAAAAGCATGTAGTTTCTTTAGCTAATGCTTTATGTGAGGCAAAGGAAGGGGATTTTAGATTTTGTGATTTTTCTCAAAGAATATCCTCGTAGAATGAAACCAAAGCTACATTACTGATGATGTTTAACATTTTATTTTTAGACTATGAAGACAGTGTATTCTCCAAATAATGTGTGGGTACAGTTTCAATCTGGCCATTCCCTGTTTGGGCGTATCAAAGACTGGCTTATCTATGGTAAAGCCATTGAAAAACTCTGCGCAGGTCTGCCTCTCTACCACCTTGAAAAGACTACATGTAAGTTACAAAATCAGGACCTTGTGTTTCTGTTACAGTGCATAAGCACCTTTCTATCCTTTAAACTTACGTCCACGTGGTACCTTTGAGGCAGGAACATATTGCCATGTTTTACAAAGAAGGAGTACACTACCTAGAAGGATTGAAAGGGTAAGGCTCTGGGATGCTTTGGAAAAATCTGATAAAGCACTGTTTTTCATCGTTAGGTATTTAAATATTTGTAACAGCTGTTCCAAAGTGGTTTGCCTGGTGTCAGAGGAAGCAACTGTGTAGCAGCTGTACCCAGCTTATGCGCAGATGATAGAGTGGTCCCACACAGCACCTACTGTATGCCAGCATGCTACCTGCTCTATGCAGGTTATGGGAAAGGAGGAGCACAAAGGTGCTTTAAAGCTGTACAGACACTTCCTCCCTTTGAGTTACACCATAAAATTTTTACAGACTGGCACCAACAGGAGCCTCAAATAGGATCATAATCGGGGGCTGAAAACTGTGTGTTTAGTAGACTTTTCCTTTGTGGGTACAGGGATCTTGTCACTGATAATATCTTCCTTTTCTTGTTTCTTTTAGCAATACTGAATGTTAATGGCTGTTCCAATGCTGGAATTCCAAGCATTTTGGGCATTCAAATCTGTGAAAAAGTCGATTAGTCTGGATCTTGGCAATTCTGTTGCATGGAAACAGCTTGTTTCTTTGCATACTTTTGTGATGGTAGCCTTGTTCTCCAACTGGAACAAAGCTCGGTGTTAAACTCCACTTGCCTATCCTAAGCTTTGAGTGCAACAAACCTATGATATACAAATAAAGATAATGCAGTAATTAAAATGCTCTGTCTTTTTTCTTCATCCAAAAGTAGAATGGAAATAAAGTGAGCTTTGCTCGTTTTCCTACAGAAGAGATACATTTCCCTTTGGTGTATTCCTATGCTCAGGCGGCAACGTGACCTAGGCATTGGTATATGCTTCATGCCAATGAAGAAACAGTAACAAAATATTTTTTTCCAGTGGAGAACAACTCTGTGGCATGAGCACCCAGACTCTCCAGGTGCTGATTCACTTCATGTATGAATGCTGGAGGGAGGGAGCCAACAGATGAATGGATAAATAAAGGAAGGGAGCAGATCTGTTACACAGATGAATGGATAAATAAAGGAAGGGGGCAGATCTGTTACCAACATTTGCAAAGAAGCTTGAATTCTGCAGGGACAATTAAAATTTGTAGGAATTTGAATAGGTGCAATGGATCAGAGAGCTTTTTGTTCTGGGCATTTTTCAAACCCAGACAGAGATTATACCAGTCCTGAAAAGTTTATAACCCAGATTAAAATAATCCTTTCACACAATTGCAGTGTAAAAAGAGCTGTGACAACTTGCCGAGTGCCCCACAGATGTTGGAGAGCAGTTTGTGTCAGGAGCTGATTAAAATAAAAGATGAGGCATCATTGGTGCTGCCTGCCTGCTCTTCTGGTAGATCGCAGTGAATGGTTGAATTCACACATCCTTTCCCTCAGTGCTTGAAAGGAGTGTATATTTTGAGGCTGAAAACTAAATATTTATTGGAGGGCAAGGCATTCCTTTGGAGTTCAGGAAAATGGCTCCAGGTCTGTGCTTTCTTATTTTCTAATCATATTCCTGGTCCCACCTTCTGCTATTTATTAAAAGAATATTTTATCATATGGTGAAACTGGTCTTTTAGATTAACTGGGTTCACAACAGGCTGCAGGTTCTTGGTGATCCAAAGAATGTTTCTGGAGAGTCAAACTTTGGTAATTAAATCCAGGAATACTTTGTGTGTGTGTGCAAGATACAGGGTACTCTGTTTAGTTGTAGTGTCAAGTGGAGCTCACTGATGGGACGTGAAACTAGGAGCTGTAGTTGTGATGTTCTTGGCTGATGCACGGGAGATGTGAAACACCTCAAAGTACTCTTTGAGAGCACTGCTTGGCAAGAGTCCTCGTAGGTTGTGACTTTCAATGCTTTTGGTGGCAGTCTCCAAAGAGGCTGTTGTTTCAAGACCTTCAAACTCAGCTAGAAGTCTTACTATAGTTTCCAGGTGACAACTGTCATGTTTCAACCCCCTCCTTGTATATTCTTCTGTTAGAGGGCATAGAAGTCATGACAAGCCTGCGCCCCTGCCCCAGGTCAGACAAGCTTTTCAAAATATAGATAATAACTGCCTTAATTATCTCAGGCTTTATATATTTTTGGATTATTTCTTTAGAGGTGCTGACCTGACATCAACTATCCAGTGAAAGTTTGAAGACCAGAGATTGAAGTAGATCCCAAAGGAGCAAACAAGCAGAGCTTCCAGAGAGGCAGACTAGATGTATGAACAAAGCTGAGTCTTATTATTCTAAGATTATTATTTAATACAAAGATATTTAAAATAATTAGTCAATGCAATCTGGTTTTCTGTCTATTTGTAGAACAGATGAATCTGAACCTTTACTGTCTGTGCAGTGTAATAATGGTCCTTTGAGACTCTCATCCTGTTGTTACTAGTTTAATCAGAATTAGTTACTTTAAAGCAACCCTGTGTATACTACGTGCATTTATTAATGCAACAGTGTTCTGAGACATGTTATTGAGATCTGAATAAAACAACTGAGTGGTTATGGATGGTTGTAAAAGATGCAGGGCTAAACTATTCCATTGACCCAGGGATAAAGAGCATTACTCAGGTGAAGAAAGTCCTATTCACCTCTTGCATAGTTGCTTACAGATCATGTTTGTGAATGGACAAAATAAGGGATACATTGCTGCCTTGATAGTATCAACGGGAAACAAACACAATCTACTCTGTATGGTTTGAGTGCTACCATGGAAATTGTCTGTGAAGGAGGCAGGAACTCAGTCCAGCTCTTCTGTCTTCACTGATGGCTTAACAAAAATCTCTTTCTGTAGTTTGACTGAATTTCATTTAAATTATAAACATTTTTGAGGTCTTACATTTTTTTTATTCAGGAAATATTGAATACACATTGAAAAGCTTAACGATAAGCTTTTAGTGTTTATTGCTTACTAATTTTGAAGGCAGCATTACAAGCTCAGTAGATTTGCAAATAGATTTGCAAATAGAGCAAATAGTTCCACAAAGATCTCTGAAACAACCCTCAATACATTATTATCTACCATTTAATTTTCTTTGAGCTAGGGAAATAGTGTTTCTGCCCTTCAGGTACTCAAACATGGAAGAAAGTTGTTTCCTAGCTTTTATTTTAGTTCACAATCTCATTGTAATCAGTCAGGCCAATATATTTGCGTTTCAACTACTGTGTTTATTGTTTGATAAATAATGCTTCAGCCATCCATCTACTCTTACAGCACCTCTAATGCACAGCTTACAGGAAAGTGTTTTGGATGGAGCACCCTGGAGGCAAATCTGTTGTGATGTTGCGATACCTTTTGCTGTACCTTTTGGGGTACAGCTCAGAACAAAGACAAAAGGAATGTCAGGAAGAATCATATACTACATGACCCATATGCCCAGGTTCTCCTCCTCCCTGTTTTTCAGAGGATGGTCTGTTTTCACACGAGCAGGTGGATGGGCATGTTGCAGCTTTGAATTTACAAACCTTGAGCGTAGGTGTCATCTCTTGGTAAATATCTTTTTATACTTTGATCCATGAGATTTCCTACTGGAACGGATGGAAAATTCCCACTGATTTCCACTGGAGGGACATACAGAGGATTGCAGCTGCTTCCTAAGTGGAGAGCAGACAGCAACCGTTCTCAGAAATGATGGGAGAGAGAGGTAATGTTCACAGTCAACAGAGTGCTTATCCTAATAATTGCCTAAGGTTAATGTGCAGAGTGGATTGTCCATGAGGCTTATTAGCCTTAAGCATTAAGATTAACGCCTTGAAAATAGCACAAGCAACTGGTATATCTGCATCAGGAGAGGGATAAGGCTGTGGTGATCCTACCAGGGCTGGAACCCAGATCTGTCACAAAAATGAAAGGAGCCAGTGCACAAGCTTAGATCCTAAAGGCATATTGGTGGAAAGAGTAGAAAGGAAGAGAGTATCAGGATGTGACTCTTATTATCTTGAAAGTTACCTGATCTTTCCAAGAGCTTCTCTCCATCAAAGTAATAGGCATGTTTTGGAAGCTTAGCTAGCTCCTCAGCTGGGCACGCTCTGTAAAAGGTGAGGAATTTGTTTTGGTGGGGAATTTGTTGTATGTGGAAGTGAGCACATTGAGAGTGTGTCTGGGTGTGCCTGAATGAGTATCTGTGTGCATGTACATAGGCAGCTTTTGCAAATTAAAACAATATTTATCCCAGTCTGGGATACCAGAATAATGCTGATTATTTGCTCCCAGCTTTTTTAAAAAGACTGAAAGGTGTTTAAAGGCATGCCTGGAATCCAAGCAATGGTATCATCGGATGCACACTGACAGGCATCTCAAATATGTCAAGCATTTGGGGAGGCAGAATTAGCACACATTCCAGTCACATCTCCAACTCTGCTGCAATTAACCTTTCTTGATCTTTATACATATCAGTGGGCAGGAAGCCTCTGTGGTCCCTCACTGCCAAGGACATCAATTTATCTAGTCACCTGTGCTGCACATTAATCCAAGGTCTTTTTACCACTGAACACATTCCATTGAGAACCTCCCCCACCACCTCCCTATTTTCCCAGTATTTTCCAGACTATTTACCAAGGTTAAGATATGACACCTTTGCCAGTCATGATCATTTTAAAATCAGAGATTAACCTGGAAACTCTTACCCTGATGAGCAATACCACTTAAATGAAAGAGACTGATTTAAATTAGGAGTGGCAGATTTTCATATATCTTGTCTGATATGTGAAAACATGTTTTCCAGTTTGTACCAAGTAATGAAAAGGGACAGCTATTAACATTAGCAAATTTTCCCTTATAAAACAGAATTTCCACTAGTGGAGAAAAGTCAGACTGGAGAATTAAGCCTGCTATTTGAAACAAAAATTGTGTGGTCTGGGCTGGCAAGCCAAAGATGTGAGTGGATGTCCTCATTTGCTAGGTCTTTCTACCCTTTTTGTACCAACAATGCATAGTTGTGAGAGGAAAAAAAAAATCCCTTAATTTTAGAAGACAAAATCTTGCCTCTTGAGTGTGTCTCTATAACCACTAACCACCCAGGAGCAAATTGCTGTGGTTGAGCACTGAACAACATGGCGAAATCCACCTGCAAGAAGAGGATGCATTTCAGTAAAAGGAAAAGACATGTTCAGTTTGAATCAAGGTGCTTAATTTTAAATACTCAGATTTTAAATTATTGTCTGGAGAGAAGGTGAGCTGGGTTTTGCACAGTTACTTGTTTAAAATAAGTAAATGTCTTGGCCAGTGAACCATACCAGATTTTCCAAGGCATACAATCCAGTCCTGGTGGTACGTGTTTGCTTTCTACTCGAGCTAAGAACCGAGTGTGATTGCGATTGACCACCAGATGGCAAATTGTTACAGTGACCTCAACAGTTCTATTTTTCTTACTACAGTCTGAATCCAGGGTTGTTATTAAATGAGATCTTGCTGTCATTAGGCTAGTAAAAACACTAATTAGGAGCAAACCATAACTCAAAAATAAAATAAAATTAATCCCTGTCAATCTGAGATCTGTTCCCCAAGAAGTAAAAGCTGAGTTGGGATGTAGAGGACTAGAATTCTTTGATCTCCAAACCAGTGGGATATTTGTTTTCATGTGTAATTATGCCCTATTTGGTGACTAACTGAACTCTTTTTCAATCCCTTAATATTTGTCGTATTTTTCTCTTTAATATATGTATATATGTTCCAGGATATAATGAGGCATTGCATTTGCACAAGGTTTATTAATCAAAGATTTTGAAGTGTTCTAGAAACATAAGTAGTAAAGATTCACAAGATCTAATATGAATGAGTGAAATATTTTCTCTTTCAGAAAAGGGATGCAGCAATGGATGAAAGATAAACCTGACAAATACCAATCACACACTGACTATGAGCACAGGTAAGGGGGG